AATGATTTAGAAAGCCTTTTGATGTTATTTGTTTGAGCTGTGTACATGTGGCATGTAAGTAAAGGACCCTTTGCATGCACGTAAAGGAACCCTTGGCATGTACGTAAAGGAACCCTTGAGATGCATGTAAAGGAACCCTGGGCATGCACGTAAAGGAACCCTGGGCATGCACATAAAGGAACCCTTGCGATACACGTGAATGAACCCTTGGCATGCACATAAAGGAACCCATGGCATGCACATAAAGGAACCCTTGGCATGCACATAAAGGAACCCTTCGCATGCACATAAAGGAACCCTTCGCAAAGAACCCTTGACAGTTGTAATTCGATGAGCAGGCAGAAACACCGCTTTTCATCATCAAAAGACCGGTTGATGCAAAAAAGTAGAATGTTAAACCCCATTTCATTTCATTTGTGTTTGGTGGTATCTTCAATATGTATTACACGTTGGTATGTGATATTAACAGTAGTTAATTTGTAACAGCTATATAATAGTATAATATATTGTAAGGTTATTTAGTTATAATAGTGTTATAATTATCTCAGTTACTATAATTGTTGAATATAGAATGTACACCTGTTATACCATAACTCACTCTACTTCTTTAATCTTTTAGCCAAACTTTTTCCAGTCGTGTTTCTATGTATATATCATTCTTAAAGATTTCTTACTTTTACGTCCAAGCTCCTTATTATGCACCTATTGATTGAGAATATATTAACTAGAAAAACTAAATTCATTGCTCAAAAAAAAAAAGTTTATAAGTATATTTTTTCAAACTACTGCCATTAGTAGGACCGGCAATTTGATATTTTTTTGCTTTATTATGTTTATATATACGTCGGTCTTAAAGATTTTTTCATTTAACGTCCAAACTCCTAGTTAGGGAATATATTAACTAGAAAATACATTCATTACATAAAAGTTTAAATTGTTTCAAATATTTTTTGTTTTCAAAATACTACCTTTAGTAGGAAAGTCAATTAATTTTTTTTTTATCTGTTGCATTTCTATCTATAGGGTCTTAACATTCAACGTGTTATTTATGTAACCATCGACTAGGATATATTCACTGCTTAAAAAGTTAAAGTTATAAGTATATTTTTTTAATAACCTTTTTTAGGGAAACTAACTGCCATTAGTGGGACAGCCACTTTTATAATGTAAGACTTTCACCATAATATTTTATATTTTTAGAAATGAAACCGAAATCAATGATAACTATGATTTAATGAGAAGTGCTAATGCTTCAAAGAGAATAAGCTGCAAACAAGATTAGAAATAACAGCTTGTTATATAATGATTATAATATAGGGTGTCATTTATCATATATGTAGGTATTTTACATAGCCTCATATTTCATCGCATTATTTACTTATGAAATTATTAATATTTCTGTTAAAAGAAGATAATGGACAATTTATTACTGTTTGTATTTCACACACTTTAATACTCATCTCAAGTTGGCGACTAAAATGACTCTTTAGAGCTTTATAAATTGTGTGGTTACATTTATAATACACACTCAATTGACGTAGGTGCCACAAAGGCTAGAACCTTAGTCAAAATATAAATGAATTTGGGCAAAAGAGACAAATAACAGTAGGCATATATGATATCATTTAATTCTTCTTAAGCTGCTATACATGAATACGGGCCTTGGCCCCGAGGCAAATTTGGAGAGCACCATAAAATTCAACACAATAAACTTGTCCTTTTAGGTAAATATACATATTTTACTAACTGGCTCTCATCTCCACTCTTTTCACGAAGGTAAATATAATAATTCTTTACCGGCTCCCTCTACATTTTGATGTATGTGTGAGAAAGAACGGCAACAATGCTGTTGCATAAACAGATAGTTTCAAGAGTGTCTCGTAGCGTCGCCTACAAAAGGACCAAGAAGAAAAACCTGATGGACATCAAATAAAATAAGACAAGTTGTTTGTCGAGGAGAATGTTGAGCAAATTTAACTTATTTCTTATATCAGAATACTAATATATAATAAATAAATGACCGCAGGCGTTCTGTACAAGGTGATTTACCTACATGGCGAATAATCAACAATATATATTGCTCCCTAGAGTATTGTAATTAATTTTCCTTTTATTTGATTTGTGGGTTTCCTTCTGGTTTAATCAAATAAGAAAGTCGTTTGGTTCCCATGTTAATATTAACGTACTCTACAGGAGAAACAGGGAGACAAAAACATGCTAGTTGCTTTATCAACACTTAACATATTCATGTGAAATAATTCTTCATACTTTACATTTTCTGGCGGTGGGGGGATAGGAACGAGGGAAATGTTAATATTATTCTTCTAGGATATATAGAATCTGATTAGAATGGAACGATACTTAAAATAGTTTGATTAGCATTGAACATGTATGTATAGAGAATTGATCGAGAGGTTGAAATTCTTATGCATAATGTATTTATTTATATTCAAATCACTGAACCTGTGAGAACATTCCTCCATCTATTCTCATTAGCTTTTAAAATGGTTTTCACAATCATGACTTAGTGTTCGTTTCTTTTAATATGGGTTCTTATTTTTTTAAGCCAAAATGTAATTTTCGTAATTTTTTATGAATTGATATACCTGTCTTGATATTCCAGGTTCTAAAATGTAGTCTTGATTGTCAAGTGTTCGTACAATTATAATTTTTTAAAATTAAATTTTGAAGCCAAAAAGTAATATTCTTAATTTTTTATGAATTGATATACCTGTTTCGATATTCCAGGTGTAAAATGTGGTCTTGATTGTCAAGTGTTCGTACTAATTTTTTTAATTAAATTTTCTGCACAGAGTTCTTATTTGGATAATCATTACGTACAATATTCAATTAATGTATTCCACATATATAAGGCAAGCAACAGTCTCCATACGCCACGCTTACTTCTCGAAAGATTAAAGATATCAAGCTAAAATGAAATAAGATCACAAAAGAACATACAGTACGTCGTAAGAAAAAAAAATTATGCATTAACAATGTTAATAATGGTATGTTCATGTACAGAACTGATTTTTTGTTACAGGGTGCCATGCATCATATGTGCAGCAGATTTGGCAGCACTTTTTGACGTACGTTTTGAATTATTAATTGCAAGTTTCAGTTGTAAGAGCCAAAACCAGTACTTTATTGTTTTATATTAAATGGTATTTTCATGTTTTTTGAATCTTATCATGACAAGCAGAATGCAGTCTCTCTTGTTTTTATCGCTTTTTGTTCGCTTGGTATAAAACATCCGCAAATCATTGCCCTAGCCGAGAGACCTCCGATAATATCAAGGTTGTGTTTTTAGAGTATTGCATAAATTGTCTGATAACATTCACGTAACACAGCTTTGAGCATAAAAGACGGTACAGTTCTGCAGTAAATAAAAGATGCTACAGTTTCGCAATAAATAATAGACGTTACAGTACCGCAGTAAATAAAAGACAAGATCTGAAATATAATTATTATATGTTCTAACATGAAGTAGTAATTGTGTATTAGAGAAAATTTAAGGATTGGAGGAATCCATAATGACTTCGGATGTCAAAGAGGTAAAATTAAAAACGATGGTTTACTGGGACAGGTGAGGAACATAGAACTGTAATAGCGAACTAGATAAATATCGACAGAACTTCAAGTTGATGCCATCTTTTTACATCTCCTTCTATTAAAGTTTCGACATTTGATGGAATTCAACACAATTCTGTGGCAGCTATTTCGCCCAGCTAGCTAGTACATTTGACTCCATTATTATCTTACCAAAAATCATTTCTTATCTGGCATTCTTCTCGGGTTTGAATGACAATTTATTTCATCTTTATAGCTCTCTTGTAAGTGAAAACTAAGATATTTTTTTATACTTCGAATTCTTAAATAATTAGAAAGTTGAACGGGATGGAGTAGAGATTATTATCTAAAAAATATAATTCATACTCCAGTTTTTTAAGAATGGTAACAGTTTGTTAGATATTCAATTACCACCAACAAATGGGAAGTGTTATTTAGTGTTCTTTGTTTTGTTTTTTTTTGAGATCGACTTAATCTATACTAATGTCGTTTGTCTGTCTGTTCAGGTTGGCAGCCACACTAGGGCTGTACCGTGGCTGAAATTTGGTGTATAGAGGTAGCTCAGTCTGAGTAAATTAGACTAGGTGGCGTTGGCCTACCGCTTCCGGTTTCGGAATTATACTGCTTTCAAACCGTGCAGCACCAGGTCATTCGCAAGTATATAATATAATTATCAGAATTTAACCTTTTAAGACTCCAAAACTCTCGCTTCCTCAAGTGCATAAAACTGCCTGAGTGACGTGAAAAGCTGTGAACTAAGAATTGTGTACTAGTTCTGTCACTCAAGGGGTTTCAGGTGGTCAAGAGAGGAGTAGCTTCAGATGTGTCAAAGCCACTTAACAAAACATAATGCAAGCTTCAAGAGAGGCTTTCAACACCAATTTACAAAACTTCAATTTGCACTAAGCACTATGTTTTTTTCTCCTCGTAGAACTGGGAGTCAGAGCATCTCCATGTACCAAGTACTAAAGCATTTACAAGAATTTGCTCTCTCTTCAAAGTTTGAAACCTCCCTACCTTTAAAATGAAATTAATCATCACATGTTCGCATAAAAATTTGTTGTTAGTATAAAATTCATGTCTATCATCACAAATTTATTCAGCCAAAACTGTTTGTATACATTATTCTTATTTCAAGATAAGTAGCCAATTATTTTTCATTAAATTTTAATCATTTTTTTCAAAGACATGTTCTGTTGATGTTATGAAATTCTCAAAATATTTTTAGAACTGTTTTAGAGAAGTAGTCTAAATATTATTTTAACACTAGCAAAAAGAAACCTCACCATCGATGAATAATTATAAACCAAGCGTGAATGTTTAAACAAGGTAGATAGAGTATTTGCTACTTCCAGTAGACTAAGGGCTACAGTGTGTAATTGTGTCAGGTAACTCAGGTTTTTGTTTAATGAAAATATATCTGGGCTTACCTGTGCCATCTAAATTATTTCTATTCAGCAAATCTGAACTGAAAAACAAAAAAAAAAAATTAATTAAATCTCAAAGATCTGTTTTGTTAGAAAAAATAAAAAATAAAAAGGTTGAGCAAAATCAAGGTCAATACAAAACCAGAAGGAAAATCTGAATCCAACTCACACAAGCAAATCGAATATCCCAGAGGAGTTGCTCATGGTTCTCTTAATAAAATGTCCATAGAGAGTCATGAATATTAACAGGGAGTGAGTTGAAGGGTGACTGACCAGTGGCTAGTTAACATATGAAACAAGGGAACACAGATGTGGGATGTTATATAATATTATAAATAATCACAATGGCCATCAACAGTTTGACCAGTACATGGACAAATTACCATCACCATAACTGTCACTTGTACTATAAATATCCTTCCACATATCTTAACACTATCACTTTTATAGTTTATTTTATAAACAGTAGGCACTTCATTAAACATACTTTATCTATTACATGTTGCTTTGTTTGGAAATATTTCAAAGGAGTAGGGTCGCCTGTCCAATCTCGTGGGTTTTCTCTGGGTCCTCCAGTTTCATCCCACTGCTAAAGAGCCCTACGCCCAATGCAATTATTGAAATAAAATTAAAAACCATATGTTAGTCCTGAAATGACCAAGTTTGTGTCGAGTGGACGTTAAACCACATTTCTCTGTCTCTCTCTCTCTCTCTCTCTCTCTGCTTTGTTAGTAGATATTTGAAATTTTGAGTCCAAGTTTTATTATTTTTATTGACTGTGTAAATTCGGTTTTTAGTTCTATTTCTACACAATAAATTATCTATTACATGTTGTTGAAATTTTGAGTCCAAGTTTTATTATTTTTACTGACTGTGTAAATTGGGTATTTAGTTATTATATTTCTACACAATAAATTAGGTGGTAATCCCCATGGTGAACATGAATCTAATTATCTTTTATCAGTCTCTATGGTAATATCTGCTAAAATTGGTGCATATCATTCATTGGTCCAACATCTTTATTAGTTTTTTTTCATATTTTTAAACCATCTGGCACACAAAATACGTTTGTATTCTCAATTAACCCCACTCGTCAAAAGTAAAACATTTCAAGAACTGTCTTTATTTTTAAAAAAAAATCAATTTACATAATTTGATGTTCAGCCTAGTCAAGTTTATCATTCTAGATATGAAGTTTTCAATGCACAACAAGCCCCATTCTCATTGGACCAATATAGTCGATCCCCAACAGAGGATTTAAAAACCCTCTGCTTTTCCTTATCAAGGATTTCCACATGGCCCATACTTTAGCACTTCATGTTTTTTATACTTCTAGATAAAGATTTTTATTTTAATGTAAGTTCAAATGAATAAATTATTCCATTAAAAGACTTGATTCTAACGAATATTAATTTCATTCTTAACTTCAGCTGACATTTCAGAATTTCTTTAAAAAAAAGACAAGAATTTCAAGTTTACTGAGTATTGCATACGTTTTCATTTAACTTCATGCAAACATAAACATCTACATGATAAACAAAATTAAACCGATGTCAAATACATTCATCAAACCAATGACATCTTGTTGAGACACAAGCAGACGTTTGTCTTCAGATATTTCCGCTTCTATTTTTTACCACGTAAAATTTCATTATCCAATTATACGGGTTAATTAAACTGAATTACGCAAAACCAAAATCCGCTCTTAAAAAAAGTCTGTTCGTCATATTAAAATCCTATTAAAATGAAGATGAATTATAACTGCATCTCAATGCCGAGTGCAGTCTTGAAATTTTGAAGTGTTTACAGCACTTAGGGATGCGAGGACTAATTTGGTGGAAAATGTTACATAAGATTAAGGGTCAAGTAGGACCTAATTTAGGCAACTATTTGATTAGATCTGTTAATAGACTATTAACAAGCCACAGAGTATTTAGAATATACACAGAGACATTAAACAAGAGCATACAACAAAAGCATAAATCTCGTCTCTTGACAGAACAAGAAATAGAGAGAGAGACAACTTCGGTAAACAAAATAGATGAAAATTATGATACGCATATTTAAGTCAGGAGATTTATTTTCACAGCAATAAACACCACATTTTTACAATTCCCCGAAAGCAGGACTACTTTTCTCACCGATTATAACAGTGGATCGTAAAAACAGGCTAGATATATTAAAGCTAGAATGACCAGAGTATTTTTGTTAATCGCCAGTTCAATAAATGAGTGGGCCATGTGGAGCCGACAGTGGTGAATGGTTTCCTGAATGTTGCCCCAGGCTTTAGACCACTTGGGGTAAATGTAAACTAACAGACTGGGAGGGCTATTATCTCATTATTGAATTCAGTCTTCAATGCTCTCAAATTGTGCTAATGCTGTTAGAATCACGTTTTAAACCACAATTGTTGTCCCTTGTTATGATAACGTGTAAACTAAACTCTAATCGTCAGCATGTGTGTGTATTTATGCAATCCTGTGCATGCACATCGCAAAACTTAACCATATTATCAAAACTATATGAGCAGGTAGCAGCAATTAGTTAATTCAATCCCAACACAAATAATATCACATAATCTGGTTGCGGCACAATTTATCAGTATAGATAACACGTTAAAAAAAACAAGACCCGTCTATTTCCGTTATTGTCAAACATCAAAGTACTGAAATAACCATGATTCACTACGCTTACATAATTCCATACTGCACTAGTATTTGTTAAACCTTCAAATATAAACTCTATTTCAAAAACTGCTCACAACAGCTCAAACTTTAGTCAGGCATGACCAAGAAATTTTTTTTCATTTCATGCAAATCTGTTCCATTTAAAATTGACATTATTTGTAAACTCTTTATACGAAATACATATCTTTTTATACAGCAACAAAGATTCTAAGCCAGGAGAAAAATGGATTAGTAAAATATATGCTTGTGATTATTCACGCTTTTAGATTTCTTTCAAGAAACCATGTCAGTCATTTAACGCTCATATCAAGTTGTGAATTTTCCGGCTGATTAAGATTTTATTGAGGGTGGAGTGAAACAAGTCAACACATTAATATAGTTAATCCCTAGTATTACCTTTATCTTGTAAACTGTATCTGTATACAGTTGTCCAGGTGGAAAATTGGGTAATTACCTTGAAACATTAAATCTACTAATCCCTTTTTACAAATAATAGGACCTTAATATCCTTGTATGGTTCATTTCCTGTCAATCATCATTAATTTAGGGGTGTAACTTATATCTGTGATGAAATAATTTGATTGATATTACAAGCATCCATTTCATTAAGAGATATCACGTTGGTGGAAACAGACGTTAAATAAAGCTATTTCACACACACATTAAGAGATTTAGGGAACAAATTTCTTCCCAAAAAACATCACACATTTTTGGGGGCTATACTACCGGAAAACACCATGTTATACTGAATACCGGAAAACACCGGAAAAAAAATAAATACCAGAAAACACACTAAATACCGGAAAACATCCTAAATAGGTAACTCGGTGCTTGGTCCTCTAGAAAACACCTGACAAACCTAACCCTAGCCCTAACAATAACCCTAACTCTCCGCAAACAGAGGACCAGGAGCTTTATTACCTATTTAGGGTGTTTTCCAGTATTTAGTGTGTTTTCCGGTATTTAGTGGTTTTCCGGCATTTTTCGGTATTCAGTATAACATCGTGTTTTCCGGTAGTTTTCCGGTTGTTTTCCAGTTGTTTTCCGGTATATAGTATTGCCACATTTTTTATCATCTTTATATATCTTTAAGAAACATATCTTTACAAGCATCCATTTCATTAAGAGATATCACCTTGGTGGAAACAGACCTTAAATAAAGCTATTTCACACACACATTAAGAGATATAGGGAACATATTTCTTCCACAAAACATCACACATTTTTTCGTCATTTTTTAATATATCTTTAAGAAACTAGAGACTTTGTAACTTGCACTACAAGTTTTTACTAAGGACCCCAGCATACATTTTTAAAGCATCTAAGAAAGATCAATGACCACGTTAACACATTTTTAACATAGAGTTTGTATTTCTCCAATATCATTAACATTTCTTTAGTTTCTTTTTTCTTGCATATGTCAGTTTCAGATTAATATATTGATCAGTTCTTTTTTTTGTTTTGGAGATCAGGAGTACATTATAGCCGTAAACTTATTGCATGGACTTAATTTACATACATGGTCATGGTATCCTAAAGGCGATTTTCTTAGGCAAGTTGCTAGAAATATTTGTCCCATGTGCATATCCTTGCAACAGCAATGGATATTGAATTTTATAACCAGTGATGTGTTAACATTCTGTTCAAGCAAAAATATTATGTGATCTTACAAAATCGTGGCACACAGTCAGTGGAAACGTGGATACATGACTGTAATCCCTGAATCGCTGCCTGCAAATTGTTTGTATGCGAAAACGTCTCCATGATTTTGACAGCATTGCTGGTTGTCTACCAATTGCTGTGTTCTTCAACATGCGATAAAACATTGCCTGTGTGTGCTAGGCTTAGGAAATAAGGGAATCGACAATGCAACTTCTGGCAATAGTAGGCCAAGCATTGTAGAAACCACTGCAGTGTCTGGTTACAGTTAAACATGTAGTAAAAACTCAACAAACCGGAAAATTAAACCATTTAAATAATGGTGAAATGCCATCTGAGTGTATCTGTCACCCTTCTCATGGCAAATATTTGGGACAGAAAAAAAAAAAAAATATCTTGTAACTTATGGTGATTTTTAAACCAGAATTTCTTGTCGTTGCCCTAGAAACAAAATTTTTATTACATCTTCTAAACAAAAATATCCCAACTATCAAATAAATTGTAAACAAAATTCTCCCAAATGGATCTTGAATCTCGATTAAGAGGACTTATAAGTAACATGTGTGGCCTGACACACACTTTTTTACCACATTTTATGATAAAAACCACCTTAAAATAACAAAAAAAAATCTTTTCCCGTTTTTACGACCCTGCTGTTCAAAGGATAAATGCCGCATGGAGTCCGATATTGTAAT